TTCATTCATTCATTCATTCATTCATTCATTCATTCATTCATTCATTCATTCATTCATTCATTCATTCATTCATTCATGTGACAGAATGAATAAACGTTTTAAACATAATAAACATATACGGTATGCACCAACCCAACACTTTAACCTGATTAAAAATTCAGATTAAAGTTAAGTTCCTGTTTCCAGAAATTATTATTTTTTTATCTCCACAACCTTTATTGTTCCTAAAGTTTATGCATCAAAACATTTCATATCCTTCAGAGTGTGTGCACCAAACCTTCCTCTACTTTCTGAGCTCAGAATTTTCTCTTTAAAACTTGCAGTGACCTTATAGATTTGACTTGTTGAATCTSCTGCATTAATCATCAGAGCTGATTAAATAAACATATTACATTTATCACACATTATAAGAATCGTGTTATTTAAATAACAACTGGTATGATTAGAAATCTAACTCAGCGTCAAGTTATCCATACATCCAAACAGAGTTCTTCCAACTGGATTCCACTTGATCAAATAATCTTCCTAAATGGTCAAACTTTTAATCAGTTTGGTGAAAACTGTCTGGTTTAAAAAAGCTCACACTTTAATWTTTTGTTGGACCGCCTTTAGCTTTGATTACAGCACACTTTCTCTGTGACGTTTGGATAAGCTTCTGCAATGGCACRYATTTATTTCCATCCAGTGTTGCATTCATTTTTCACCAACATCTTGCATTGATGATGGTAGAGTCTGACCTTCTGCAGAACATCCCAAAGATCATCAGTGGACTCTGTTCATCATCTCCAGGATGATTTTCTGATTGGAGCAGCAAATAAAACAGTTCAGGGTAAGTTTGTCCTTTTCCTGATAAGTAGTTGGTCCATCATGATCCAAAAGAAATGCTTTAAGCTGCACAACTGTGAGAACTCATTCCATCATTGACTTTTCTTTTGGTTGCCCTCAAACAATCCTACAAACCGCTGTGTGCTCATTAGTAGGCGGAGCTAAATATTATATATGAAACAGGTTCACAAACACGCACTAAACAAACTGTTACAYGTTACATATCCACTGAGCCAAAAAGTAAAAAAAAAAAACAAAAGTTCACATTAAATGTTTAGCAAAACCAAAACAAACTCTCTTATAAACTTATGCAAACCAAGCAGCTCTAATGAGAAATGTTTAGGCCACGCCCTCCTGAGCAACAAGCTTTTATTCAGCACCGACTCAGAAGCAACAAGTTCCAGAAACTTTTGGTTTTTAAAAGTTTGCTTCCTGTCTGCCTCTCTGCTGTTTGGAAACGTCTCTGAKTTTGGCTCAGATTCATGTTTGGTTGGCTCCACAGACTGAGTGTTGTGCATCGTCTTTCTAGTCCCTCTGACACCAGGTGCATGCAGAATGGTTCCTACCCTCTCACCTCCAAGCTTGACTTGACTCTCTTTGATAAAWGCATTGTTCGATGCATCTAGGATTTGTGTCAGTTATGGATTATTTATTTATAAAGTGATTTGGAAGTGACTGGTTTGGACGTCATGGTATTTTGATGTTTACTTCCATGAACATAAAAATCTAATACAGTATACTGTATAATTCTAATTTATCTGTGCGTTGTTACAATATTTTATTTATAATACCTGTTTTGATTTAAAAAAGGAGTAATGGTGTCTTGCAGGCAGGCTGGACTCTCTTCTTAAACTCTGAGTTATGTTTCCTCCTCATGAAGCTACGTTCACCAGCAGAGTTTAAACAAAGCTTCTGTTCTGCAGGATCTTCAAACAGTTTTCACACATCTCTTCTGAATATTAACRTCTTTGCTCTGAACACTGGAGACATGAGTGAAGAAATGTTGTAATTTCAATTTACATACATACAATCTTCTAATCTCATACCCCCCCCCCACACACACACACACACAACCCCCACATCTCTCAGCGACACTTTCATACATCATTTTGTTTGTTTACTTGTTTTCCCTTTGTTTGACTGCTCTCTGTTCTTGTAGTACAGGGGAGAGAAATATGGAAATAAGCGTGGCGGGAACCGGGGAGCTGCAGCCGTTTGATGATCGCTCCTCTGCGGCTCGTCTGCATGTCGACGTGAAGAGAAGAGAGGCAACGGGAGGAATCGACAGGTCAGCTGAAGATGTTGCTTCTTGTCTCCTGGAGTTGGACTCAGGTCCACCAGCTGGTCGAGAAGGGCTGAAATT